TTTGAGTTTTTAAAGGTCATTTTTAACAGGATACCAGGGAGGAAAGTGGTGTAATGGAAAAAGAATTCTAGCTGGACATCAATCAGGGAATTTATTTATTTTTTCACAAAAAAATAAGAATTTGTAAAAGACCTTTTAATAATTTGTTAACAAATATTGGAAAATCTGACCAGAACTTTGCAAATGCAAATAGCTGTATGAGTTAGTTCAGAAGTTGGTAGTTGGTTGGTAGTCAGTTTTAACTGGTCTGATCACATGATTAAATCTCTCTATTAGTTCATCAGTCCAAAACAGAGCAGAACAACAGAGCAGTCAGGGGCAAAGCAAAACTCAGGATCCACATGGCAGAAACAGTTCACAATCAGATAATCAGAACAAAGATCAGAGAGCTAGAGTTATTCACACCGAAATGCTTGAATAATCTGGCACCATGGGCTGGGAACCGGTGAAATAAATAGCAGATGAAACAGGTGGATCAGATAAGAGGTAATTAGGCTGGGGTAGAGCAAACCAGATGAGAGGAGGAGGAGTAAAACCCAGCCTATGGTGCCAAGATGATGACACGATGTTGCATTCACTTGTCAGTGACCAAAACATCATGCAGTTCAAAGGCCTACACTGGCTCCTCCAAAAACATTTTCTTGTCGTTGTGACCAAGTATCTGAAACTATAAGATGTTCCTATAGGTGGCCACAGGTTTACTGATGTTGACAAAGGCAGTTTTTTGTTTTCTTGTTCAGTATCCTCTAAGATCCCAGGCATATACAGTACTTCACAACAGACAATGACACAGGGGCTTGAGCAGCTTTTGCACAATGGTTTCTGTGTTCCTAAACATCCAGATGACATGGTTTGAGAGCTACTTGATAGTACATCAGAACTACTTTTTCTTGTATAGAATTCTTTGAGATGATGTTCATGAATTTGCAATTTTTAAGAAACTACTCCAATGGGTGTTCCTGACTGATGCTCTATACCTCTCTCCAATCTTCACAACATTCTTTTGCCTTCCACGTGATTTTTAGTGTCTCTCAGTCTAGTTATATGTTTAGGCTTTTATAACATGTGTTGGCCTTGATTCAAAAGACTGGAATTATTTTAGAAGATTATCTACAGACTGCTATAACTTTACTGATGTGTAACATTCTGGGATCGTAGAGAAAATGGAGGACAACCTAGGGTGGGAAGCCATATTTATCTGTTCTTTACTTCCAATCACTCATTACATAGTTAATGTAATTCTCACACATTGGCATACAAGCTGGAATTTATAGGGCATGTTTACCATTAAACTCCTTTGCTCAAGGTAGTGCTATATTTTCTCTCAGGTCATTTCCCAGGATCTGCAGTGTGAAGTTATAGTTGCTGACAGCCTTATGCTCTGGTCGGAAAGGCAGTAATTGATGATGAAGGCAATTTATGGGGAAGGACAACTGTGGAGGGACAAGGTCGGGAAAGTGATGAGCAGGAAACTGCACAGATAGAAAAGACAAGGAGAGAGCAGAGTAGAGGAAAGATTTTCAAAGTTGATTCACTGAGACTTAAGATTTTTTTTTTTTCCTGAACTAAACCCGAATTTCAGATAAGGAGTGATTAGAAACTTTCTGTGAAAAAAAATTCTTACAATGCATGATGTGAAAATACTTAGTGTTTATCTCTAATGCTGTGCATTGTCATCTTAACAGTTAAACACCTCACTCAGCGTATTGCATCTGAATGCTTGGATAATCCTGGAGAGTAAGAAAAAGTGCCGGAACATTTTGCTGGGTTTTCTTTTGTGCATCATAACCTTTATGGGGGAGCTTAGGGAGATGATGAGGTAGAAGAGTTTGTGGGATTCAGAAAAAATGCTAAAGCCGCCTGATTGTTTTCCCCTAGGAACGGGCTGATGTGATAATCTCTTAGCATGTCGATGCATGTGTGTGGCTGCATTTTTCATGGTTATTTTGAAGACTCTCTTTTTGTCTCTTAGAATCCCTTAGATTAGAAAAGAAGTAAGTGTCAGAGCACTAGATAAACCCACGCTACACTTTGAAGAGTCATTGAGAATGTGTGTATAGGTTAGGGGTTATGTAGGATGTATGTGTGTGTGTGTTTACATATCCATTGCAGACCCAGAGGAAGAGCTTACATCTTCATGAAGGCTGTGCTGAAATAAACTGGCTTGTTTTACGCATCAGTAATGAGCAAACATCCCTTGGCGCTGACTGTGGTGCTGGAACCAGCTGTTCCAGGGGTACATTTATTACCAGGTTTATTATAGGAGTTTATTATAACTCTTGTTTCTGTTTTGGTGAAATTGCACATTGGGTTATTACTTTAAACTGTTGTTTTGTTATATTTATAGCCAACTGAATGTCAGTCTGTGTTACAATAACAAACTGACATAAACTCTGTTAAGAAAAGCACTTTGTGACATCAATCTCTTCTATCCGTACTTTTAACTGTTGCATGGGAGTTGTTGCATGGGATTTTTTCTCAAACCAGAATCTTAATCTATAAAGCAGGACTACTCAGTTAGGAAGACAACTTCAGGTTTAACATTGACTTAATGGGTACCATGAAGCAGGATTCATTCTTAGCAAGGCTTTTCACCATGGTAACGTACTCTAAATGGCAAACCAGCAGCAGCTTTCAGGATTGATCTGAATCCCAGAAAATGCTCCAACCAAAAGCCAATCAACTGTTTGGGAAACAATTATATCCCCTTTAATTGAAAACCAGATTTAATTTAAACAAAAGGAAATTGAACGAAAAAAAGTTCAAACAACCTGACAGAGGTTTTCTTCTTATGAAATTTAATTGTTTTTTAACATATCTATTCCTTTATATTTCATTCCTTTTTTGACATAGCTTACCAACCTTTTACTATTCTGTATCTGTTTTCTCTTGTATAATGTCCTTATACACCACTGGTATTCACTTGATATATGTAGCTAAATATAGAAACAGAATAAAATAGAAATTAGAGCACAAACTGTGAGACAATCCTTTGGATCATAAAGAACTCATATGAGCTATACAGGTTTTCACAGCTGGACCGACATACAGTATGCCAAATCCTGGAACCATGTGTTGGCCTAGCAACCTGCAGTGCGGAGTGCGCGAGAAATCTGGCCACCAGAAGTCTGTCCACCATGATGCATTTGATGAAAGAATTCATTGTCTTTCCTAGCCCCTTGTCTGTAGCTCATTTAAATTGGTATTTAATGCCGTTGCAATAAGTAAATAACTGGATTTGAGTTAAATCTAATATTCATTGAATTGTGTAAATCAGGCTGTCTTATATATAGTCTTATACATCTTATATATCTTAAACATTACTGGTACGTTAATTTTCTTCTCTAAATTGTCCTTAGGTGTGAGTAGGTATGTGAATTGTTGTTTGTCCTGTTGCCTTTGCAATGCCAGAGCGATGTCCCTGAGATAGACTGACAGCCTGTCCAGGGTGTACCCTGCCTCTCACCCATTGACAGCAGGAGACACCAGCACCCCTTGTGACCCCCAGCAGGGATAAGTGTGATCGAAAATGGATGGATGATTGATATATATATATATATATATTTTCATCACTTTACAGCCACTGGTTTTCATTTTTTTATGATTTTCTATATCTACCTTGATATTTGAGCCTCACACTACTACTCACTAGCAAAGCTAACATGACCAAAATTATGACAAATTAATAAACTCCTTTTTGAGGCATTCATTCATTAATTCATGCTCCATATATAAAAGAATCTGGGCTGGGAACTGAACTTAGAATCTTTTTGATGCAAGGCAACAGTGCAAAGCTACATTTTTTCATTAATCTTCTGAAACCCTGGTCCTTTTGTTAGGTTGTGAGAGGACTAGAGCCTATCCCAGAATGTATCATGAAAAGGCAGGTACATATTGGACAGGTCACAAGGCCATCACCCTTTGAGACAATCACACCTTACTGATCAAAATGCTGAGCTATTGAAGCTTAAGCAATTTTTAAGAGTTTTGCCTATTGTGAGCAACCATAGTGTATTTTATTCAAGCTTCTAGGCCACAGGAAGCAAGTCTTGTCTTTACTATTTCTTACCAGCTTCTTGTTCCATCCCTGTCTCCTCATTCTGGCCTGTTGCTCTGTATCTCTGCTGTAGCTCCCTGTTTGTGCTGCATCATAAATAAACCAGAGCAAACTACTATTATCCAATGTTATATGACATACGATAACATAAAATATCTACAGTTGTTCTCTCAGCTGAACTGTTCTCCTGCCTTTTGAAAAAAAAAACCTAATGTCCATGGTTGGAAAATAACTGAAAAGATGTAGATATCTTTCTAATTTAAGCAGGTTGGAATTAACACAAATGGGAACATTTGTTCCAACCATTTATCTTTTTTAATTATTATTATGAATGGATGGATCAGAGTTGGAATTTGTCTCCAGCGCAACTGAGGGAACCCCTACACGCAAACGCACGCGCACGTGCGGGGATGAAACGCAGAAACCATTAAGACATGCCTCTTTTTGCTGTGGTTTGCACATATTGTTAAAGATTTTTTTTTCCAACTCTAATAAAGATTAAAGAAGACTCAAAAAGAGAACCGGGGCTTTTGGAAAAAATAAAATAAAATAAAAATAAATAAGCCTTCTAGGTTTAGCACCCGAACACGCCCACCCCCTCCGCTCCTGCATGATAACTGCATTAAAGTAGCCAACTACTACAATATAGAATTCCTTTATTTCCTCTGGAAAAATCTAGCAGAATAAATTAAGCGTCCTGATTATTTTTTTCAGTGCCCAAATCAAAAAGAACCAGAAGGTACGCAAGGAAGCTTTCCATGGCCATTAATGAGAGTTCAGTTGTTTTCACTGCAAATAGTAGTTCATCTAAGAGGAAAAGAGAGAATGAGTTTCAAGAGGATCATCAATCATAAAGGAGTACAACCCGTGCTCCCGAATTAAGCTCCGATCACTGCATAGGGAACCTTTCCAGTGCGCTCTATCGGAGGATAGCAATTTGACCTCCTCATTTGCATTTTAGAAAAGTGAAATTGTTCTTTAGATGAAGGACAGAGCCACAAAAACCCGCAACCTGAGCCAGAAAATGTTATGATTGAATTAGATCCAGCCCTCCCTCCCCTCCTCGGCTCGCTCCGTGGTTCATTCCAGCCGCTCTGGATCCGCGGAGCGATGCGCGTCTCTGCTGTCATCTCCACACTGAGCAAAGCGCTTCAATCACAGCGCTGTAACATCAGCAACGTCAATATGGATGGAGCGATCAGGACCGACATCACCGAGATTGCTTTGTGCTCAACTGTTTAGAAGGTGAGTTATGTTTACAGTATGATGACACGACTTTCCTTTTAAAAACAAGACGTGGAGATGGTCTTTTTTTGACTGTGGGTTTAAAAGTAAACGTGCGTCTTTACCATGTAGTGTAACAAGTGTGTTATAGGATTATATTTTTGTATGCAGGTGAAACTCCTGCATAATGAAATGATAAAGTTGTGAATTTGGATGGGAATAAATTTTTATATTATATCTAAATGTTATTATAGATGCCTATTTATATATGCAGAAGCTAAGGAAAATACACACATTACAATGTTTTTTTTTTATTGGTTCCGCTGTAGCAATGTAAAAATTGTGTTGTTGTTTTTTTTTTTTGTTTTTTTTGCATCCTTTTATGTTTTAATACAAGTTAGAGGACACATCTCAATAACCCCCCCTTTCATCAACAAATGTCAGCCTCAGAGAAACTCCTCGGAGGAAATTGTGCAACAGCTGAGTAGAACAGTTTTCCTAATGAAGAGCTTTGCACAGAGAAAATGTGATTCACACTGGTGCAGTTTTAATCTCAAGGCTAACTGTGACTCTGCGTTTGGAGCCCAAATAGGAAATGAAAATTAGATACCACATTTGGTATTTATAAACATGGCAAAACTTGAAAAGAGAGGGGGGAAAAAGTCCAATTACTTTACTGGCAATTGTTTTTGTTTATTTGAAAAAAAAAAAGGTATAACCAAAAAAGGAATAGCTGCAAACTAAAATGGTTCTCAGAAAAAAATGTAAAATGAGCTCCAACAAGTTTTTGAATACTATTATGATCTTGCAAGCCTCAAATAAGGTTTACACCCTTTATATATTGCTTTTTTACATCATAAACCTGTATATTCTCTGGCACATCTCTCCTCCCATTAAATGGTAGCTGTGGACAGTGTTGCATTACTAATTAGATCCTAATCACTATTCATTTATGTCAGCTATAATTCCCAGAAGGTTTTCACTCAGGGGTCAGCTGTTTCTTTCCATATACAAAGCAATCTATTTACTACTTGACTTCAGTGGCTGTCAGGCCAATTGAAGCTTCCCTCTCTCTCCTTTCCTCACATATGTGAACATACACTTCTGTGTTTTTATGCATCCTTCCATTTGGGATGTTTGCCTTTAGCAGAGTGGATGGCACCAGTCCAGCCTGACACCTGCCCCTGCTTCTGTAATGTTAGCAAAGTTATTGCAAGATTGCTTTTCTGAATACATGCATGCTTTATCACCTTTTCCCTTCACAACAGCTGTCTCATTTTAAGGCCTGTTATTTTGGCTTGTTAATGAGGGAGAGTAGGAGAAGGAGCACAGGGGTTAGTGGTGTGTTGAAGTCTTTGATCAGTGGTATCTTATGTGAATAGGCAATGTAACATGCCACTTGCTTGCCACATGCTTTCTTTGATATTGTCATGTCCCAAACAAAAATTATATTTTATTTTATTCTGATTTTTGTTACAAACACAATATAATGAACATATTTTCCTTATAAATAAAAACATACTGTACAATTTTCTAGCCACTGGGGCAGAAAACCTAATCAAAGTAAAGGACATCACAAAAAAATTTAAAAGATGAGTTGTTCTGCATAGATTTGTTGTTGGGTAATATTTTATGCTTTAGCATGGGAGTAAACAACAATCACAGGTAAAACACAAATTTTGGGGAGAGCCTAATGTGCACATCATCGCTGAGACAAATTATGTTGTTTTGGGCTTAGGACATAATGTTCCCACATAGTACCTAGAAAAATGTGGAACTTCGTGGACGAACTGCACGAAAAACATGGTGAGCGAGCAGCAGCTACTGCTGGTGTGGATTTGCAAATGTAAATACCTAGAGTTACCCCATGATTTAGATCATAAATATTACCACTATCAACACATTGTGGAACAACCCCAGGAAATTACTGTCGCTCATGGACAGCATGAAGACCCTTTAATATAGTTGTAAACAGCTGTGTTTTTAAGATGGGTGTGGCTGCAGACCTGTACGGTCAGGTCCAGAGCTGAACTGTAAAGACCCTGGCTGCAAAGCTGCTCTGTGAGGTCTCCTGCGCTGTTAGAACCAGAGGGTTATTTGAAGATTTTCAAAGTAAAATCAAAGATGATTCAAAGCTTTTCTAAAGCAAAAGCTAGTGTTGATAAAGTCACTGTGAAGTTAGCTTGCTTTACAAGCAAGTGTTGTTATGATGGAAACTTATGTACATGCACAATTTTACTCCCCACCAAATTCCTATCTAGAATAATAGATATGTGCTAAATAGAAATAAGTCTCTGTATTTGGATCGGGGAGAAGGGCATATGGTCTATAAGACATTTTCTAAACAACAATGGAATAAAGTTCTGGTCCTGTCAGTGCAGGAGACCCCATTTCTGCAGCGAAGCGTCCTGACAGTGGTTGTCTGGGTCCTGACAAGCACTGTATTTTGTGTATACAAAACGAAATTTCTTAGACTTAGAATTAAAAAAAATAAGTATGTGAACACCCTGCTATTTTGTAATTTCTCCCACTTAGAAATCACGGAGGTGTCTGAAATTGTCATTGTTGGTGGATATCCACTGTGAGACATAATCTAAAAAAAACAAATCCAGAAATCACAATATATGATTTTTTTAACAATTTATTCATATGCAAATAAGTATTTGAACACCTGAGAAATAAATGTAAATATTTTGTACAGTAGCTTTTGTTTGCAGTTACAGAGGACAAATGTTTCCTGTAGTTTTTCACCAGGTGTTAACACACTGCAGGAGGGATTTTGGCCCACTCCTCCACACAGATCTTCTCTAGAACTTCTCTCTGATTTTTTAGATCAGAAACACAGAGTCTGAGCTCGCTCCAAAGATTCTCTGTTAGGTTTAGGTCTGGAGACTGGCCAGGCCATGCCAGAACCTTGATATGCTTCTTCAAGAGCCACTCCTTGGTTATCCTGGCTGTGTTTTTTTGAGTCATCTTCAATGTTCTAACTGAGGGAAGGAGGTTGTTTCCCAAAATCTAGCAATACATGGACCCCGTCATCTTGTCCTTAATACAGTGCAGTTGCCCTGTTACATGTGCAGAAAACACCCCCAAAGCATGATGCTACCACCCCCATGCTTCACAGCAGCGATGGTGTTCTTGGATTGGTACTCATCATTCTGCTTCCTCCAAACACGGTTAGTGGAATTGTGACCAAAAAGTTCTATTTTGGCCTCATCTGACCACATGATTTTCTCCCACGACTCCTCTGGATAGTCCAAACGGTCATTGGCAATCTTAAGACAGGTCTTGTCTGTGCTGGTTTAAGGAGGAGAACCTCTGTGCCATGCACCATGTTAAACCATGCCATCTTTGTATATTACCAACAGCAACCTTGAAAACGGTGGTCCCAGCTCTTTTCAGGACATTGACCAGCTCCTTCTGTGTAGTTCTGAGCTTATTTCTCACTTTTCTTAGGCACATTGAGACCAAACAAGGTGAGATCTTGCATGGAGCCCCAGTCTGAGGGAGATTGATAGTCATGTTTAGCTTCTTCCATTTTCTAATGATTGCTCCAACAGTGGAACTTTTTTCACCAAGCTGCAATTTCCCCATAACTCTTTCCAGCCTTGTGGAGGTCTACAATTTTTTCTCTAGTGTTTTTGAGCGGCTCTTTGGTCTTGGCCATGTTAGTAGTAGGATTCTTACTGATTGTATGGGGTGGACAGGTGTCTTTATACAGCTAGTGATCTCAAACAGGTGCGTCTGATTTAGGATAATAAGTGTAGTGGAGATGGACATTTTGCAGGCAGACTAACAGGTCTTTTAGGGGCAGAATTCTAGCTGATAGACAGGTATTCAAATATTTACTTGCAGCTGTAACAGAAATATAAATAGTTTAAAAAAATCACATACTGTGATTTCTGTATTTTTTTTTTTTTTAGATTATGTCTCTCACAGAGGACTTGCACCGATGGTCACAATTTCAGACCCCACTGTGTTTTATAAGTGTGGGAACTTGCAAAATAGCAGGGTGTTCAAATACCTATTTTCCTCACTTTACCAATCAGCCTCACTTTACCAATCAGCCTTCATCGATATTGAGTCAAACAGAGAAAATTCATCTAACTGTATCTTTTGGATTACTGCTATGAGAAGTAAGGATTTGATAAAAAAAAAATAAAAATAAATAAAAAAATGAAGCTCTGATGGCCTTATATTTCGGAGGCATCTTTTGTTATCTGAAATTTTTGAAGACTCATTGATCTGTTGTTATGCAGTAGATCGCTTCTTTAATTAAAAGATTATGATAATCCAGACATGTTTTTTTTTTCTCATAAAATTATATCAACAATAAATTTGCTGTTTTATAACAATTGGGCTTAAAAATAAATAAGAACCTGGATATATCAACTTGACCAGCACCCCCCCAATGTCACACAAGGAACTATGCAAAATTAATGCTTCAATAAAAAATGTATAAATATGTGTATAATCAACTGTTGGGGTTAAGGTTACACAAAAAATGATTTCATTTTTCTTAAACTGCCTTGGAGAAGAGTTTTAAGCTAGAATACTTTATAGCATGTGAAACCTTCAATCATTAAAGCCATAAATCAAAGTGGTACCATTAAATTCTAAATATTACTATCTTAAGGGATTGTTGAATCATGTATGTATGGATATATTTTTCTAAAACACTATGCATGAAATTACAATTGCTGTGAGATGTGCACATTTGGGTTTGAGTTATTTTAACAATGCATTCAGTTTAAGACAGAAAAAATATCACAAACCAGTTCCAGGGGGGGTGGTCACATGATAGACTGTAGCTGCTTGGTGGTTTAAGATTGAGTGTTTTTGCAATGTTGAACATCACGCTGTGCAGACTTTAGAGCTAGTCGACAGCCTCCTGTGAATGTATTGACATGGTTGGGATGTCACATTTCTTTTCCTTTTTTCTGGTTATAAATGGGAGTAGTGCTATGTTGCTCTTTTTAAATGCACAATCTCTCTAAAGCAGATATTCTGCATTCCTAAACCATAGAGGACAATATGCTGATGAGAAAATAAATCTGCAACAAAGATTGTTTGTTGTTCAACACAGGTCTGCTTTTAATGCAAATTCAAGCACAGCGCAGTGCGATGGTAAAACTGAATATTCATAGTCTTTTTTTCGAGCCAGAGGTGTTACTGTGAGTGCTCCTGAGCCCTTTTAACGACCGATGAAATTGCACTTGAAAAGTTGTAGGCAGGTTGCTTGGCTGCTGAAATGAGAGACTCGAGTGCATTGTACCATTGTGAGCAAATCACTAAACTACCTCTCTTGTTAAAGACACTACAGATCATTTTAACACTAGGTTAAAAAAAAGCATTGACACATTTACATCTTTATCCTTCAATCGCATTTCTTAGACTTGGATGAGATTGAATTACTGTCCTCTTTTCTGTCTCTTTTCTGCAGAATGCATCAGCTGCCTGTAGACACTTTCTCTGAATTCTCCTGGCCCTTGGCTGTGGGGTCGTGAGCAGCTACCATGACGTACAGCAACTCCAGCTCACTGACAGCCAACCTCAGTGGAGCTCTGGATAGCTATGACTCCGGGGGAAACCTGTATAGACCATTTTCCGTTTTCAGTGTCCTCACTCTCACTTTACTGGTAATGCTGGTGGTGGCCACCTTTGTATGGAACCTGCTAGTACTGGTTACCATCCTGAGGGTGAGGACATTCCATCGGGTACCACACAACTTGGTCGCCTCCATGGCCATCTCGGATGTGATGGTTGCCGCGCTGGTTATGCCTCTTAGCCTAGTCCACGAGCTAAATGGCAGGCTGTGGAAACTTGGACGTGTGCTCTGTCAGGTGTGGATCTCATTCGATGTGCTCTGCTGCACGGCCAGCATCTGGAACGTCACCGCTATAGCACTGGACCGCTACTGGTCTATCACCAGGCACCTGCAGTACACGCTCAAAACTCGAAAAAAGATCTCCAATGTAATGATTGCACTCACATGGCTGCTATCTTCCATAATCTCACTATCACCACTCTTTGGCTGGGGGGAGACATACTCTGAAGGAATGAAGTGTCAAGTGAGCCAGGAGCCATCCTACACCATCTTCTCCACCTTTGCGGCATTTTACCTCCCACTTTGTGTGGTTCTGTTTGTCTATTGGAAGATTTACAAAGCTGCCAAGTTTCGCATCGGCACTCGCAAGACAAACTCAATTACGCCCATGGCTGAGGTGATTATGCTTTTTGTTTTATCACAGCTTTTTTAAAACAACTTACCGTAGCAGTTGTAGCAGTTGACCTCTCTCATTGGTTAAACTGTCATATTTTATTAACAAAATGACCAATGAGGGAACTGGTTACATCTGAGGCGCAACTGTGATTGTTCAAACGGGGATTCAGTGTGCCTAGGGGCCAGAAGGATCAAGGAAAAGTTAAATGAAGAGGGTAAAGCAAAAACAAGATGCAATTTCATAAATGGTTTAAAAATACGAGTTGCAAAAGAAAATGGAATTGGAATACGTAAAAAGGTTTTCAAATGTTTGATTAGGAAAGGTATTTCTAATCAGATTTATGATTTTTGCTTTTTTAATCTCTATTAAAAATGATTTGATGATTAATAAATTAAGAAATAAAATTAAAATTTTATCTTTAATAATTTGTTTTAAAATTGGATTTCAAAGTGCATGATTTAAATGAAATGGCTGATTTTCTTGCCTTAAACAGCAGGCAATAATTGGACTAAAATGAGAGGACTGGACAGAAACACCAAACATGCAGAAAACTCTTTTTACAACATGAGTTAAGGGAAATATAAATTATGTTTGGTTGGTATGGACTATTGTTTGATGAAGTAACATTACTCCCCCAGCCATGCCAGTGCAGTTTTTTTTTTTTTTTTTTTGTCAATATGTTTACAATGAATTAAGGTTGCTAAGTTGCTCATTTTCTTGCTTTGGCACAGCTAGGTGGAACTTTGGATTGCCCTCTCTGCAATATACACTCTCCACCGATAAGTCTTTACAGGTCAACCATTATAGTTCCAGCTCTTGAAGTTAAGTTTTTTATTTAAATATCCTGGTCCCAGAATTTAAATAACCCTACATATTCAATTACTGTAAAATTTTTCCATGATTTAGGAAAAAAACTTGCTTGATACTGTAGTTAAAGTGCCAGGATCAATTTCTCTCTTTCTATAGTTACAATGTTTACCAAATGAAGAGGGGTCTACAAATAATATCGAAATTCAAAGTACAAAAATACATTTAAAAACAAAACTAACAGGTTAAAATATCTGCATCCTTTAGCAGGGTACTACTTTGTCTACATTGCATTCATATTTCCATGTATTAAACCTGTATATCCTCATCTCAGACTAATCATTGATTGCTATCCCTCGCCAGCAGTAATCAGTAATCAAAGAGGTGCGCAAATATCCCATGTGGAAGCTTATAGAAAAATAATTGAAGTCATGGTGCACATCACACACAGCCTGTTGATGTGCGTAGGCCGAGAGATGAAGGCTATAAATACTTTCTCAGCAGCATTAATAGGGACCTACACCTTCCAAGCCTTGCTGTTAAGTTAATTAGCACACAAAACATTTCTGGATCTGTCTTTCATTAAATTACCAACTATTTAATTAGGCAAATTTCTGCTGTTAAACCTAAAATTATTATTTTCACTCAATTTGTTAGATAATGTTTCTTCACTTATACCTAAATGTTATGTTAAAAAAAAAAAAATCAGATGACCTAAAAATACATACACAGACAAAATAGGCTTTTCTTTTTTTTTTTTTTTTTTTTTTTTTAAATACCCTTTGAAAATGCTTCAAATTTTCCCTTTTGTTGTGTCCCTTTGATATCTTACCCCGAAATAAAAGATCATGGTCAAGGTCTAAACAAATTAGCCATATCACTAAATAAATTACCTAGTCTGATATTTTATTACCTCCTTTGAAGGAAGGTAATAAAAAAACATAATATTTATATAGCTGTAACCAATCAGGCAATCAATCTCTGGACCCCAGCATTTTCAGGTTAGAAGTTTTATTGTTGCTCTCTACAGAGTGTTATTGAATTATTTCAAAAAATCTACTCCCTTTATTTCCAGCCATAACCTACAAACTGTCAATTTGAGCTATGTTATGAGCAGTGGAATCCAGGAAGCCCTCTGCTCTCACACATCAATACACCCACTCAGACATTAAGACATAGGCACACATAGACACTGCAGCAGAAACATAGGGTATTAATAGGTATGATGCTCACATTCCTGACCTAGTTGCACAAATAAGTCTCTGGGAGGCCATAAAATTGATTGCTTCTTAAAACAATACAGCAAAGTACAAATGTGGAGAGAAAAAAATACATCCACCTGGAGCCATGAACTTATAATATTCATGACACATCTTAACTAATCATATTCTGCTGAGTTGTTTTGTTAGTTTCTTCAAAACGGATTGTGAAGTCACAAAAATATTAAGTCCTGTTTTTCTTTTTTGTTTTCTTACCTTCTATGCATCTCCATGCAGCTCCTAGATTAGAATCAGTGTTTCACTCAATGGAGACATTTTCTATTTTTATGACAACATCTTCTCATTAGCTAGAAGTCAGATGAGGTTTCTGCTGATTGCTTGGTTATGGCACATCTCCCACTGTTCCTGGCTGTTGTTTGGCCAAATCAAGCATCTGCTTTGCAAGATTCAGCGGCTGTTCATTTCATATTATGGCGAACCCAATGATTGAACTAAGAAGCATAAATTGGCATGATTTGAAGCAGAACAGGATAGTTGTTTTCTCTTTCTTGTAGTTTATCACACATTTTGTTAAACCTTCATAAGCATAAAAAAAATAGGCATTTGAATCCTGATTATTATTATTAAAATGATTATTTTCATTATTCTTCTTTACATGTTGAGATAATTCTAATGCTTTTTTATATTTTGAGGCATATTATAAAGATAAGAAAAGTTAAATGAATGCTTTGTTGTGTGAACAAACCTTTAAATTTCGATCAGCATGGTCTTAAAGACCATGTACTTAATTTGTAAACATTTAGTCGATCAAAAAAACTTACACCAACTGAATTTGATCAGACTGGCCCTCTAGTCACATCCATTGATTTCTTTGGTTGGTTCTTCTTCAAATGTGAACATTTTGTTCCATCAAGTCAAATACTGACTCTATGTAGAAAGCTGCTCCATAATAGCTAGGGATCTTTTTGTGCAGAAGATGCAGTACAGATGTTGGACCAGAGAGGGCCAGCTTACCCTTTTCCTAAGAATCAATAACATTTGTCTCATAAGAACAAGATAAACAGATTTGGTTTATATTTAATGTTTGTAAGTATGTACAACGGCAACCAATGGTGGAGTACAAAGACACATATCCCAGGTAGCAGTCAAGCATGCTGGTGAGAGTGGGGCTACATCAGTCCTGCAAGCTGCAGGGAACTTATTTAACTTCCGAATTAAAATGAATGGAATTGCCTATATTGTCATTGCACAAAGCACAATGAGACAAGTTCCAGAAATTCCATCCAAGAGACACAGAACAACAACATACATGGGGGGCACAGGTGCCTAAGGCTGTAGCCATTGAAGCCACTGCCCTATGGTTATAAGAAGGGGAAGTAAGGATAAAAAAGAAAATATCACACTATGCCTTTGACAAACTACAATGTAAGGTGTCCAAAAAAACAAAACTGCGTAGAGTATATGAAAGCACATGGAAGCCAGCAATGGAGTGAGTTAGAGGGCACATGTGTCTGTTGTCAGGGGAGATATTGTTGGTGCGTGTTTGGGCATGAGAATAAGTCCTTGAGCCAGGCTCAGAGCCCTCTCCTAGTCATAGTTCCTGATAAGATGTAGTGACCATCAGGTCGACCCTAGTTTTGATTTATCAAGTTGGGAGGAAAAAGTCAGGAGAACATTGGGCTGAGTCCAGTATCTCTGAGACTTAAATAGTTGGCACCCTGCAGAAAGATTAAAAACGTTCTCTCTAGTGAGCCCATTTGGCATTCGATGTTCCACAGTGGTTAAGAACTGCAATTGGAAACACTGAAATTCTTACAGTATTAAGATGAGACATCAGCAACCCAGATTTTAGAAACAACAAATATTCTAGTGAGCCATGCATAGATGCTTGCAGCCTTATGCTCTGGAGGGTTTAACTGCACTACAATAATATCACCGTCTATCTAGAGTTAGTTCCCTCCCAACAGCTGGTGTTTTAATCCTAAAAAAGAACTTCAAGTTAATACTACAAATGCATTTAAATTAGGGAATTTTAAAAGCTCACGTATCAAACCTTCACACCATGTGGCTGAAACAAAAAGACAGCTACAACCAGTAAATAAGCATTTCTACCTTTACTAGCTTAATGTTCATAAAACACCTGCTGTCTTCTCTGTAATCTTACTGTTGACTCTGCTATTGCTGTTTGTCAAAGCTGTGAGATGATCTGTTGTGTCTTCATCTCTCAGCTGGGAGTTGTGCCTGCTCTTACCATTAGGATTTCAGGTGTTTCATAAATCCAGTGGAAAAAGTGTTTCTAGCACAGACATGTTTTAATAGGTGATGCCATCTCTCTCCTCCCTACCTGTGTTTACGTCCTCATGGCTCTGTCACAAGCTAAGGTGCTTCCATCCTTTTTATAAGTTGCCAGTAGCAACCACGCACTTCCCATTAAAAAGGGATTTTTATCAAGAAAACAATCGGTTCTTAGATAAAATCTGATTCTTTTTAGGTGGTATGGTTTAAGAGAATGTCAACTTACATTTAAGAGGCTGCATTCTCAGTACAGATAGTAGGAATCCAGTGGCCTTCTTTATTTGGCAAGAATTTGAAATCTAATGCAAACCCTATGATTTCACAGTTAATAGTAGTCAGATTTTCATGACTACTTCAAAACATGACTGTTAGGTTATTTGGCTTCTCTAAATTGTCCTTAGGTGTGAGTGTGTGCATGAATGGGTGTTTGTCCTGTGTGTCTCTGTGTTGCCCTGCGATGGACTGGTGACCTGTCCAGGGTGTACCCTGCCTTTGCCCATTGACTGCTGGAGATAGGTACCAGCACCCCTCGTGACCCCAATTGGGAATGTGTAAAGAAAATGGAAACTTCCAGAGTAATATTGCGATAAAATCATTGTTTACCGGTAATATCAGCAATGATGCTTAGCTCCTGGGTTTTCCTAATATTATCTAAATCCTATATTGCAGGCTTAATTAGACTATTGTATTAGAAAAAAACTGTGCTTCACATTTCTTTTGTAAGATCCTTTATGTTGTCCTGATAGTATAGATAATAAGCAATGATACTGTAACATAAGACCTTATGAAAATATACTGTATATATATTTAAAGTAGATTATTAAAAGCCACAAATTAAACACTGATAGCATCAATTCAGAAATATTGCACTAAACATTGAGCTATGCAAAATAAAATCGTGCCTAAATTTTTCATTTTTGCTTTTTTTTATTCCTTTGCCAGAAAAAAAAAAGAAACTTAACTGCAACACAAGTTAATTTGATAGCAGCGTTGCTGCCTCAATGGAAATAACACTTGACAACATTACAGATCTAAAAATGAGTATAATCTGTCATAGGAGGATGCCTCCATGGAATTTCTGCCTGTTTACCTATGAAATACTCTAAGAGGGTGTGGAGAGAGGTGGCACTTCCATTAACATGAAGATGTTTTGCTTGCTTTAAAAATAATTGACTTTGAAAGCTGTTCAAGAGGACACTATGGAGAGTTTCAAATACTTGGATGTTCACGTCAACAATAAACTGGAATGGATGCATAACACCAACATCTTGTACAAGCAGGGCCAGAGCCGAGGTCCTTTGGGCTGAGGTGGCCTCTGCTTAAGACTTTCTATGACTCTGTGGTAGCCTCGGCTCTCCTCTACTCTGTCCTCTGCTGGGTGCCGGACAGCGCAGAGCGGGACAGGAAAAGATGGAACAAGCTGGTCATGAGGAACACTTCTGTCCTGGGCTGCATCCTGGACTCTGTGGAGTGGGTGACCAAATGCTGGCCAAGCTCTCATCAGTCATGAACCACACCTTTCGTCCTCTGCACAGAGCTGTAGAGGAGCTAAGCAGCTCCTTTAGTGACAGACTTAAACACCCCCTGTGTAAAAAGGAGCAGGTTGTTCATACCTGCTGCCGTCAGACTTTACAATACCACTGTGAAATAAACTTGTTTAATAACTACAGTAAAATAACTCTATAATAAGAGTCTATTTACTTATTTACCAAACCTGAAACCCCATTTTCAACACTTTTTCAAAATACTGTATTTGCACTACAATAGATCACTTCACTGTATAAGTAAATTACTTTGGTACAGTAGATCACTTTACTGACACCTTAAATCTTAATTCCTTATTTTTACATATTCACTATTAGATAGCTATTATATAGTTTTTTATTATTTTAGTCTGACTTATCACAGCAACTTCTTTGATGCTTTTCCTTCTTCTGCACCTCGTTTTGTTTATAAAAGCTGATTTCAGAAGTGAATTTCTCTGTTGTGAGATTAATAAAGTCCTATCTTATCTTAAATATCTCCCTACATTATACATACTGTGTATTACATAGTAATCGTTGTAAGTGTGATACTGTATAAAAATAGCATATAAACTCTATGTAATAGCAAGATTGTTTTAAATAATAGTGTAAAGGTTCAACTCTCTCTTTACACTACATCTATGCCAGTCTAAATTTTAGAAGGCAGAGCACACCTTCTCCAACTCGAGGGTCAGAGACTTTATATTTTTAACTTATTCTATGCAGTGTTATGTGCCTAGTAAAATATGGATTATTTTTCCCTTCTGTCCTTTTGGAGTAAATCTAATCCTCAGTGCTTCTTAGTGAAGGTTAAAAGTCCACTCTATAAATTCCATCTCAGATTCTCTGTCTTATTTTTGAGATGGGTGCTTTAGTTTTTATAGCATGCATTTATATAATATGACCTTTTAAACTACCAGCTCACATCTCAAAGGGGTAATTTTTTTTCTTCTCTTAAAGCTTGAGGTTCTTTTAAGCGGTGACCTGTCACTTCCACAATTGGCTGACTAATTTCCTTGGTTTGTATTTCGTTTTCTCAGCTAAGCTCATTTAGGTGACCTTGGGTTCCATCCTAAACTCTAAAAGCTGTAAATAAACCTTTAATTAAGAAACTGTCTCTTGACTCAGATGACTTGGTCAGTTATAGACCTATATCCAATCTTCCTTTCTTATCTAAAATTCTTGAGAAAGTTGTTAGATACCTTGTATTACTTGTCCTGTTAGATCTCAGTGCTGCATTTGATACAGTTGATCATAATATGCTTTTTGAAAGACTTTAATATTTTGTAGGAATTAAAGGAACAGCACTAGGGTGGTTTAAATATTATTTATCTGACAATTTTCAGTTTGTCCATGTTAATGTAAATCTTCCTCATGCTCCAGGGTTACTTGTGGAGTACCACAGGGTTTAGTGCTAGGACCAATTCTCTTAACTATATATATATGCTCCCAATCTCTAGAATTTCCGCTGTTAAGCTGATGAAACTCAGCTATATTTGTCTATGAATCCAGATGAAGCTAACCCATTACATAGACTACAGGCATGTCCTGAGGAAATACAAACCTGGATGACTCTTAACTTTCTGCTTCTGAAATCAGACAAAAAATTTAAATTATTTAGACCAGAGTCTTTGAAAAATAAGCTGATTAGTCAGTCACTTCACTTGATTGGGATTAAATTGATCTCAGATAATAAAGTAAAAAAATATTGGTGTTATTTTTTATCAATCCCATTTCAAAGAGGTTTCTAGAATTTCCTTCTTTCATCTGTGGAATACTGCAAAAATAAGAAATATCCTGTCCAGGGGTAATGCTGAGAAACTAGTCCATGCATTTGTTACTTCAAGGCTGAATTATTGTAATTCTTTACTATCAGGAAGTCCATAAACTGTAGTTAAAAGCCTTCAGCTTATCCAGAATGCTACAGCCAAAGTGCTTTGGGATGACATGTGTAGTGAATTGGTGCTATATAAATAAACTGAATTGAATTAAATTGAATCTACATTTACCACAGAGCGTGTTTCTGTTTCTTAGTCTCAGGGCCTGATTAACTGATACAAAGAACACGAATGTGGTCTTTGTACCATTTAACATTCTGCTACGTGGCTTGCTTTCACAAAAGCTTTTACCTTGGCAACAGAACCAATAAAGGAATTCTTAGCCTTAATATGGCTAAGAATTGGATGGGGGGGGAAAATTAGCGCATAAAAACTGACAGTTACTTTTTTATTCTCCTCATAGAGAAAATTTGATTTTACTAAATGCAAAATGCTATGAAATTTATATTGAGAAACAACCCCAACTTCATTAAATCTTTTGTTCTGTCATACAGCAAACAAAACTGTTTGGCCTTATTCACACTTATTTTGCACTTGTATTTTCAACCATCTATCATTTGTTCAATACCACACAATATTTAGTTATTGAATTCTAGTTAATTTATTGTTATAGATTTCCAGTCAGTTAAAATAAAAAACAAACCAGGATTGTCTGAATGCTAAATCAGTGAAGTATCTGGTTTATCCTGTGCTCCTAGGTAAAGGAGGAAGCCCAACAGCCACAGATGGTGTTCACCGTTCGCCACGCAACCGTGACCTTCCAGACTGATGGAGACACATGGCGGGAGCAGAAGGAGAAAAAAGCAGCCCTTATGGTTGGAATTTTGATCGGCGTTTTTGTGCTTTGCTGGATCCCTTTCTTTATCACTGAACTTATTGTACCACTGTGTTCCTGTGACATTCCACCAATTTGGAAGAGCATCTTTCTTTGGCTTGGATATTCAAATTCCTTTTTTAATCCACTAATATACACTGCCTTTAATAAAAACTACAACAATGCCCTAAGGAACCTATTCTCCCGACAGCGCTGAGCTGATCTGTGCGCTTGGCAGTTGTGCTGTTTGCAGTGTTAAACCCCCTAACAGACTGAATGATCACTTCTTAATCTCATCAAATGGTGAGAACCACAAACTGTGTCTAGAAAATCTGCAGTGTGCATCACTGAAGTCAGTATCAATGTGTTTTGTTTATTGAGACTGAGACAAACATCTTTTTTCATTTTTGAAGTTTGGATATAAATTGGCATGTTTTTTTAAAAGAGTGATGTGAGAATTTGCTAGGTTGACAAAAGGTTTCTGCACATGAAACATATTTAATACTAAAATACCTAGAGTAAAAATATAATGCAGGTTTCCGACGATGTTTTGTTTGGGAGTATGCAAAAGCTATTCAAACCAGACAGGCCCTATGAGAAGAAGTATTTATCAACCTTGTTAAATCATGAATTAACTTTGATAAACCACAGTTCTATTTCGCTAGCCACATTCGGGCCGAATCATTACCTGAGCCGAAGGACAAAGAAATTACAATAAAGCCAATATGACAACATTAAGAAGGCTTAAAGATCTTAAAAGCAGAAAAGTCCAAATATATTCAAGAACAGATAAAAAGTCAGCATTCATCTGAAAGAGGGTTTACAAAGCCCTTTCTAAGTCATGTATGTCATGATGTGTGAGTTAGGAACAGAAACAAAATGCAGAAAGGAACTCAGGAGCCGCATGATAAATCTAAGGATGGAATATCAACTAAATTAATCCTACAATAACTCAGAAAATAGAGCCCAGGCAGAGAAGCAGGGATGCAGAGAACATTGTAGAACCATGGAAGAATTCAGCCATGAGCAATGACACCCAGTAAGCTTGTTTAGTAAGGGAGGGGTGTAAAAATGACAAGAAAGCATGAACAGCATACAGAAAAGATGTGGAGCATCTATTGCAGTAGGAAAACGAACAAGCTGAGGGAAAAAATTAACCGAGTATGAAACCAACAAACTGTCAACCAAACCAGAAATAGAGAAGTAGCAAAACAGAACATAAAACATCACAAACAAGAAAGGAAATACAGAACCAAAGAACCTAGAGACTGTAATTTTGTGACTCCATCAAACCAAAGTGATACTAAAATTTTAGAATCAGCGGCTGATTTAGCATAGACAGACTATAAAAACGATGTTCCTTTGAAGAAGGTTCTTGGTTCACTTCCCCAGCCTAAGATCTTTCTGCATGGAGTTTGCGTCTTTTCACTGTGAATGTTGGGTTCTCTCTGGGTACTCCAGTTTCTTCCCACAGTCCAAAAACATAACTGCTGGGTTAATCGATGTTTTTAAATTTCCCTCTTGTGTGGGCGCATGGTTGTTTGTATCTGTGTTGCCCTGCAATAGAAAGGAAAGGTGTAACCTGCCTTTAGAGCATAGACGATGGAGATAGGCATCATCAGCCCCACTGCGACCTTGAAGGATAAGAGAAAGAAGATGGAGTATATAAAAGCTTTGCCAACCAATGTAATAATATTGTTGCTTTTTTTCTCTTTGTGTAAAATGTCTTCTGTTCGGTAAGAATAGATTTTGAACACTATGATTTAGTTTATGCCTGCTGCTACTTTCCTGTCTTCCTGATGGTATGAACTTCCATGACAGCAGTTCTCTATTTCTAGTTGAAAAGGTAGACATACGTCAATAGTTGTTATCAGAGCCCCCGACTTTAACAAGAAAATGCCATCTGTAGGACTTTGTGATCAGATGCCGCACAGTTGGAGAAAACTTACTTTGTGTCATTACTTTTTACTTTATTCCTAAAATGGTAAAGACAGTTTATGTGTGTTGCATTTCAACAGAAGGACATTTTCCAAAACACTTTCCCATTTCGCTTGATAGCAACATCAAACCAAGTGCAGCCTGTAGTAACGGACACCTGTACTGAAACAGAGGAAGCTATGGTTAGCATCTGTGAAATTATCCTCTTGGCCAACACAAAGGCTGTATTTCCAAGTCCTGAAGGAGGTGGTGATGAGATATGGAGCAGGGTGCTAGGGTGTGACCCCTGGAGGAAGAAGCTTGTCTTACCTGAACATGTTGGAAATTTCACAATTCTTACCAGAGTGTAGTTAAGGGCTGAGATGGACTCTACCACTCTGTTTTCCTTTTCTTCTTTACCCATCCCTTGATAGATAGCAAGATTAGTAAGCTGGGATATTTTTACATGCAGGCTTGAATGACTAATGTAGTCTTTGAGTTATTACAGTCTGAAGTTGTTGAACAATAAATAATCAAAAGTAAATTCATTATTTTTGCCTTATGCATTTTTTAATAAGCAGAAATAGATTATTTGTTTTCGCAGTTTGTTTGTGTGATAATCCGGTTAATAATCATGTTTCTCGTAACAACATGTGCATGTAGATTGGTTCAATAATGAACTCAGACTTTGATTCAAACAGTAGCTTCTGCCGATTTTTACCTCTGAAAAATATTTCTTTCTTTGGGATAGAAACAAACTGCAATTCTTTAAATGAAATTACACTCCTACAGACTGATGGAGGAGTTTAGCTGGTGCGAACCAACAGCATTAAAAAAAAAAAAAATCTTTTTACTACACCAACAGGTTAAAGGTATAGTCGAGGGTTTTCGCAAATTTTAGACATAAGCCTATTTCTCCTTGTGTGTGCTCTGTTTCAAATTTGCTGCTTCCATCGCTCATGCAAGCTTACTTTCCAAAAGAAGATTTGCAATTTTTCCATCGTGTCAGACTCATCACCTAAGCAAAAATAGGGACGAGCATGTAGAACGGCCTTATGTAAACACATCACCAGAATGATTGACAATTAGGAGGACTACTTCTTTTGATGATCCACACAAAAAAAGAACATCGTCCAATATCCCTTTAAAATAGTGGTCAAACCGTAATGTCAGCGATTTTTATTCGTAAATTCTGTGGGAGAATATACGGTCATCAAACTTGCAACCTTAGGCTCATGCACTTTTGGGAAATGCAGCAGGATGACATGGCAGTAACCCATCGCTTAAAAATCAGTTCATGTCTGAATTAAAAACAAGAATATATACTTTTGGGTTAAGCCAACAAGCAAAGCGTGAAACAAATAGGCTGACCAAAGAAACTAGCTAAAGAGCAATGCTTTCTCAAAAAGGGCCAGGTTGGTTTGGATAGCATTTTTTCCTCATATTATATAAAATCCTTATTTTAGAAATCCCTTATGGCTGTGTAAAGGATATTTTTTTGTCATTTAAATAAATCTTATGAGGTAAGTGCAAGAAAAAAAAGCCACAAAAAGGGAAATATGTCAGAATGAACGTAGAATTTAACAGTGTTTTTCCATTATTGTCAAATGTTGGTTTTATCTTTTTCAGGCTAATAAACAAAAAAGGCATTGTAACTCCTTTATACTGTTTCATCATGTCTGAGGAATCTACTCACAACAGTGTATGGAGTATACTTCAAGAAAAGAGAAATCTGTTTGAAAAAAACAAAATGAGACTCATAAATAATAAGCCAAGAAACAACTGTGGATTTTGTGGAGAAGGAGATACTTAACATATCGTTATAGATTACATTAAAATACATAATTGCAAAAAGATGGATTTCTGCTGCTGAATCCTTATCCATGTGCTGATAAACTGCAGCCAATTGCAATTTGTACGTTTGTAGATAGAGGTATGTACTGTTCTCTGCTCATTCACCATACACTTTACCACCCACACATATTTTACATCCACACACCCACAACCCTTTCATGGGAGCAACGAAATAGATTTGCAAGTCAGAACTCGCACTGTCTTTAAATAAATTGCTGCAAAGAGTAAGTGAGTGGATTTCATGTCAGTTCTTACTAACAGAGAGAATATAGGAGGCATGTTGTCAAATCTTTTCAAGACAATAGGAAAACTTGAATGTTAGCTTTCATTGCACAATGAATCAATGAAACAATTCTAGCACTTCGGCCAAAAAATAAAAATAAAAATAAAAATAATGCTAATCTGATTAGCATTTTATGTTTTTTTTTGTTTTTTTGTTTTTATGTATCTTTACCTTTATTCCTATTTTGATGAATGTCAATGCCATTTTTTATGAACATTGGGCTTACAACTGTAGAAAATTGAGACCCCTTTGGAGCATTCAAGGGAAAAGCAGTGAGCCCTGGTAAAAAGAATAAGACTCAGAGGCACAAGAAGTCAGAAGGAATTGAAGTGAAAAAAAATAAAAAATCAATGTAGCAACGTGAGCTCTCGTTGTAGTGAGAAGGTGAAGTGTAGAGAATAATGCCTTTTCAGAGAGATTCTGTTTTTATGTGAAGGAAGGCTACTACTAGATATTATCTCCATCTGCTCTAAAATGTTCACTGAAAATAATACTCTTCTTTCATCTTTTCTTTTCCAAATGTTGTACGATATGGCTGTTTTCTTGCACAGATTGCCACTTTCTACTGAAAACATTCACCACTGTTGAAGCAGTGAGTGAACCCTCATTTATTTGTGTTGTGAAATGTTCTGTGAAGAGTTAAGCATGACTCAGTGATTCTCAACAAACAGTTGTTCCACCTGTAGTTGTGAGAGAAACATTAAAGCTCCATCCACCACTTGCTGCAAGGAGGTAAATAAATTCAGTTGTTCAAAGAAACCATGACTTTAATTGCTTTTTTTATTATTATTATTTTCATTTTTTATGACAAGAATAAAGGGTATGGCTAACAAAAAATATTGAGGTCAATTTTATTGCATTGCTGTCTGTAATTGCTTGGGTTATTACAGTTTGCTCAACTAAGTGGAAGTCAATAGGTACTAGTTTAAGAGAGATCGAGAGAAGCAACATGTTTAATAAACAGAAGAATACAAAGAAAATTATAAAAGAAAGACAACTGTGTTTTTTATTTATTTTTTAGAGATTCTATAAACCACAATCTCGACCAAATAAGACGTTTTACAACGGAATAGGATTTCTTGACAAGGAGTGAACCTGTTTTGCTTTTAGAGTTTGTTCACTTATATTGCTATATCTAAAACCCAAATAATATCTAATAGAACAACTTTTATTTGAATGTAAATGTTTCTGCAAATTTAAACTCAAATCAGAGTAATTGATGGAGGATATAAAATGTCCATATAAAACCAAAAGTGAGAAAATTGTAATTCTATAAGATATCAGAGAAATTTCTTTTTCACATCTCTAGCATCTAATAAACAATGAAAAACTTTACTTCAAATTAAAGGCATTATGCTGAAGTGCACTGAAAAAAAAAAGATTTCTATTTATGTTTGTTTAAGCCAAATGCAGATTTAAATTTATTCAAGCTGCTAGCATAAAGTAAAATAGGGCAATCAATTAATTCATTATACCAAATATGAAAATATTTAGCTTGATTCATTCAAAATACTAATTATTACTTCTTCCTTGTATTTTATAACTAGGTTTCTTATCAGAATAGCCAGCATCATGAAACAACAATTGTCATGCAGTGTGTTTTTGCATGTTACCTCCTAATTACTAGAATTATGTTGAAATATCTGTCGATATATTAAGCTTAAAAGAAACTTTCCCTCTTATACTTTAAAGTATTTTCACACCAGAAATGCAATACATTTTCAAAAGATTATCAAAAGACTGCAGAAGAAGAGGTGATTAGTGTCAAAATCTTGTAGTATTATTCAAGACCTTTGCCACTCCCAGGTTTTTTTTCCTGAAGGAGTTATTGCACCTTGCTGTCTTGGAACTTTAGCTGCGAACTTTTATTTTCTCAACAAGTTTTATTTTCTCAAAAAGTTCAAGCTAATTAGCATACTATTTAAATGTAATTAAATGGGTGTTATGCAACTTTTCAGTCTGATATTTTTTTATTTTGCTTTTGCAATCACAATTTGAACCTATAGATAATTTAATAGGCCTTAAGCATGCAGTCTGTTACTAGATAACATTTTGTTCTGAAAAGAACAGAGAAACCAAAGAGATCGGCAGCAAGCGATGTGTTTCCCGCTGCCTCTCAAGCCAGTCTGTTTTATTAATACAAACATATTTTAACAATGCTCAATTAGGAGTCTTAGGCTACCCTAAAATATGCAAATCACAAATCCAAGAACATTATTAAAAGATTAGTTATTTACACTTATCATAAATGTTCAGACACTATTCTTTTTCTTAATTGAGGAAAAATAAGTACCATTTACAAAGGTCGAATTTTCGATTTCAGTTTAATCGGCCTGCTGCTCAATCCTCAGTAGTTGATCATTTTAACAGATTTCTAGCCTCTAAGAGCTGCATTTTTAAATATGACTGCATTTAAATATGACTGAGAGAACAGACTTTCCCAAATTTACTTGTGTTACACTAGCACGAAAGAAATCAGTCAATGCAGTCAACCCTACACAAACAACACAGATGCAATATCTCAATTAATACTACTTCACAAGTATAGTTAAGGATTTTTGGAGACTCAAAACTGCTCAGTTATTATTATTTTTTTGTGTGCAAATATTGCCGCCATAACCATATGCAATAACTATATACAGTATTAAACAAAACAAAATATAACATAAGAATAGTGTGTCATAGTAACAAGCTAGCTCCACCGTTTGCTTAAATAACATTTATAATGATTAAATGTTTTGAATATTACAAAGCTTGATATATTTGGGAAAATGTTATTCTTATTAAAACATAAAATGTCAGATCGCAAAAGGAAGGCAAAAAATGTATAATTTGGCTATGCATCAACTGGTTCATAACTTGTGTATGTCGATAAAAGGAATAAAAGTTTTTATGTTTTGTTTTTTTAAGAAAGTTTTTTTATATTTTAATATTCTATGTATCTCTGGGAGAATATGGGTCTGCTTGGTTTGGATTAGCTTTTGAAATATAGCTGTAGGCTATGTTTAGAATGAGTGGAGAAAACATGCGAGTACTGAGATATTATGAGGAAATAATGATTCATGAAGCAAAGTCAACAATATTAATATTAATGAATATCATTGCACTTCCACTTTTTTTAACATCTCATACAAAAATAAATAACAGACAGTATTGTTGATCAAATAGAGTATTTATGTATAAAAATTTACCAGACTGGCTTCACAGAATGGGACATTTTCACTGACCACAAATGTACAACTTCCATCATGGTTTTAGCTCACTTTCAAGCTCTAACAGTATTTTGTGTCTTAAAACTCTTACTGTCCTTTCTTCGCTTGTTTAATTTATGGGTTTTAAATCCTTGGTCTATCAATGTCCGGTTGGTTCGCCATTACCATTCGGTCCGTCTGTATCTGGAAGTCCCACAGGATCTTGGCTCTGTCATTTTCTATCAGCTTTGGAGTTGTTTCCCACTTTGACCTTGGGGTTTCCAGCCCATACTCTGCACAGATGTTCCTGTGCACTATTCCAGCCATTTGGTTATGGCGCTCCATGTAAGATTTCCCTGCCAGCACCTTACACCCTACAGTTATGTGCTGGATTGTCTCAGTGGCCTTTTTGCACAGTCTGCACCTCGGGTTTTGTCTGGGATAGTAGATCTGGGCCTCTATTGCGCTGGTGCTCAGGGCCTGCTCCTGTAAAGCCATGATGAGTACCTCTGTGCTGTCCTTCAGTCCGGCTTTGTCTAGCCATTGGTAGGATTTCCTGATATCCACTACTTCAGTTATGTTTCGGTGGGGTTTAATCTATGGAGTCAGAAAGGGGTCAAAATGTTTGTAAACTCATAAATCTTACTTGAAACTGAAAAAATAGAAGTTGAAACTGGAAAAAAATATAAGTTTATATTGAATGTCAAATTTTTACCTTATAATCTCAGAAATTAAAAAAGCAAACAAAATCATAAGAATTAAATCTAAATTACTCCCCCCAGCTTGAAAAAATTCATAATTCAGTTTAGTAGTTTTTTTTTTTCTTTATTGCAGTTTTAGATTTTAGATTTTCAGATTCAACACCCTTTCTTTCACTTCCTTTTTTTTGTTCTTGTTTTAAGTTTCAAATAGCTTTTTCAGTTTCAGGATTTTTTTTTTGCACTTTCAAATCAGTTTTTTTCACCTTCAGGTTTTGACCCAAATCTGACGGAAGAGGTTGGGGAAATGTGATTTACAGCTTGCAGCAGCGCTGGAGTGACTCCAACTAGTTGGGATTTGCTGAAATCCATGAATGCAACATGGAAAGGGACATTTGAATACCGCTCCACTTTAGGAAATAGACATTTTAATTTCACTGCTAAGCTACTGTACTGCTCATTTACTGTCTGAAAGCTGTAAAAAAATAAAATTTGGTTTTGTATATACTATGTGTATACAAAATGACAATAAAAATTGTCTAAGTCTCCAGCACTGCAGCAAGCTGTCAATCACATTTCCCTTCCCACTCCTGTCAGATTGGGGTCTTAATCTGAAGGTGAAAAAAACTGATTTGAAAGTCTAAAAAAAAGAAAAACTGAAACTGAAAAAGTAATTTGAAACTACGATTACAATTGAAACTACATTTGAACTACAATTAAGACATTTTTTTTAAAGAAAAAGTGTAATTAAAATTCTAAACTGAATTTAGATTCACTTTTTTACTATTGTTTTCATTTTTAGTTTCTCACATTA